ATTGTTAAATAAAACAAGGGTTACCTGAACATAACCCTACAATACTCTGACCATCGATCTGAACACAGGGACAGCTCCTAAGTGACAGTCAGGGCTGGTAGCATAGAAATTGGGACATTTCCCCCCGAGCGGGACAGAGCACAAGATTTCTTCATGCTAATCACAATGACGTGAAATTTAAAATGTGTGAATTATTTCTTAGAATTTTCAATATATTTTTAGACTGCAGTTGACCGTGGGTAAATAAAACTGCATAAAGGAAAACTTGGGATACGAAGCTAGGGCTGTATGTAACAATCTGAATCCAGCTCAGATTTTCTTATTTTAATGCTTTCATTTTTTATTGTCATGAAAACTAAAATGCAATTGGGAAACAGATTTAGTAAACCACCCTTCAGTTTTCATAGAGTTGGGGAAATGCAGGTGAGAGAGAGGAGTGAGGGTTACAAACCTCAGTCTGATTCTCCGCTTGCTTTCAGTAGTAAAATATGAACCAAAGGTAAAAGTTTTCAACTTTCAGCATCCCAAATTATTTATTCTTATTTAATACTAATATAAATATTGGTTTTCATAAGAGCAATTCAAAATGATCAGTAACAAGGAAGCTTGAAGGAGGGATACAAGCTGGTAAATGATTTAATTGTTGTACCTCATCCACACAGTTTTTAAATAGTAGCCCCACATATAGTAAAGTTAAATGGCTGTTAGAATTTTTCCATAAGAATATTACTTATTTTGATATATTTATTATGTTTTACTCCTATCTTGTCATCATTATGTAATGAATGTAGAATGTAAAATGTTGACTCTAATGCAGGTATAAAAAGTATAAAACTTGGAGTTCAGTAGCGCTTCATTTTTACAGGTCTAATTTTAAATATCGTTGTATGATTTAGGACACTGACCCTTCTGGACATCAGTTTTCTCGTCTGTAGAGGAGATACCATAATAGAGTTCTCCTACCTAGTGGATTTGTCATAACAATTACCACAGAAATGACATTGTACGTATTCCAGAAAGCTGAAAAAATGAACTTAAAATCCTTTAAGTAAATATGTATGCTTCATTTCAATTCTTTAAATAATTAAATCATAATTATAAAGAAAAATGCACATTATTGAGAACATAAATTATTGCTAGTACCCAAATGCAAATAATTTTATTTTGTATGTATTTATGGGTTGACGTTTGAAAAATATAAGGTAGAAATAAGTAAACTTTTATGCAAAAATTAATTTGTGGCAGAAAAAAGTAATAAAGACATTAGAAAATTGAGCTTTCATGGTTACTATGGGCTAACCTCACGGGATATGAGAAGGTTTAAACATTTAATACATTTCTAAGCTGAAATTTAAAGTATATATAAAACATAAGCTTCAAAAGACAACTTAATTAAACATTTATAATACAAACCCATGTTATGTCAACTCCTATATTCTGCAGTGGCAAAAATATATTACTTTCTCACAAAAATGACATCAAGCAACCTTTCAAAAAATTTAATCATAAGTTTAAAGGTTTAATTTTATTTAAAGTAATAGTTATTTAACATCCATATTTCTTCATCATAAAATGCTTTACAAATATAACTTGTCTAAAAGCTTTTTCGGAAAATGGAAATGAAACAGATCAATATACTGGTTTAATGCTATAAAGTTCAGAAATGAACTATTTATCATTTAAAGCTAACTAACTAAACCTGAATCATTAAAAAAGTGTATTCTCAAGAGAATAATCATTACTTAATGAAAGAAACCTCACACCTGAGACTGCTGGTAAAGACATGTTTACAGAATAGTTTAACATTTACTTTTGGATGATCACTCATGCTTTCTATAAAACACAATTTCTGGGGAAGGCGCCTGTGGCTCAAAGGAGTAGGGTACTGGCCCCATATGCCGGAGGTGGCAGGTTCAAACTGGCCCTGGCCCAAAACTGCAAAAACAAACAAGCATAACTTCTGTAGAATTTTGTCATAATAAAACAATCATAACAATCAATGTGTGTTAAATGTTTATTTTGTGTTGAGCAGTTCACTGCTAGAAGTGTTAAGCAGTTACATTCTCAACAATCCTCTCAGCAACCTAGTACCCTTGTTTCTAACTGCCATTGTCACCAGAATTGTCTCCATTTTAATCAAGAGGAGTCTCAGCTTAGAGAAATTAGATGGTTCACCTCAAGGGCATACAAGAGTAACCGAAGAAACTAGGATTTTCTGATTCTACTGCAGTGCATTTCAGTACAAAGCAACACTATTCACACTTGGGAGAAGCAAATGAGAATTTATGTGAACCAAATACATCATCATTAATCTGTAGGATCGATTTTTTTTGCCTAGATTTACGTCTGCGTGTTAGAGAACCCTAAATGAAGTAAGAGAGGAGGGACAGGTTCCAACTACAAGGTCATTAGGTCAATGTATCCACAGAGGACAAATCCTAATTGTGTATGTATGTTTCCACTCTGTTATTCTGAGGTGTGGCTGTCAAATTTTGTGCAGCTATCTATAATGATCACATAGGAATTTTGAGGAAAATATTGTAGTTTCATATATAAGCAAAGGTATTGCATAAGGTGAGTTATCTTCATTATGTTATAATAATAGATTCAGAAGAGAGTCATTTATATTTGTACATAGTGGAAGAAAATATATACAATTGTTTTTTTAAAATTTGATAACAGTAATCTTACTTTGTTGATATATTATTTTTATAGCATGAAGTGCTAGTTATTTTTAGATCATACGTACAGAAATACCTTTGGAAAATGGAACCACAGTCTTTAGAGTCCCACTCTCCATTTGTTTGTTGGGAATCTGCAAAAGGAAAAGTGAAGATACCACATTCCCACAGCTGAAACATATTCCACATTCTCTAGTCATTCTTTAAAATGGATTGTGGTGACAGTTTTGTTGAAAACCAATAATTTCTTGGGTATTACTTAAACAATTTTATTAAGCTCTTAGCACCTAAGAAGCATATTAAAATTTGGTAGAGGAATGAGACTCTGAAAATAGCATGAAAAAATTATGCTTCCAATACTACCGTGTACTTACTACAGGGTTTTCTTTATCAGACACAAAATGCTTATAATAAAAATATTTTTTGCTTGGCATGTAAGTTCTAAACTTGTTGATTCAGGGCTTAATGAATTCACATCAGGGAGACGCTGTAAAAGTATATTTGTGTTCCAAGAAAAGTGAACTACAACATTGCCTGGGTAAAAATCCGGGCCACTCTGTCACAAACAGCCTGATTTTTCTTTATCTAGCGGCAAACTCCAACAGTGTTAAGAAATATAAACAACTCAAATCTATTTCCTGGAAAAATAAAATAAATGTAGATATGAGACTCTATTTTTCTGTAGAACAATAAAAATTCAGGCGGGCCTGACACACTCGAGACCAACCTGCAAGTGGCAGATGAAGGATGAGAGCAGTTCTTCTGATCCGTTTAAATTTGTATCACTGCAAGTCATTATGAAAACATTAAGCCAAATTCAAAAGGATGACTTAGAAAAACTTTGCTTTACATACGCACATTTTTCAAAAGCAATCTTCTCAAAATCCAAGTTTACATCTGAACTTGGGTGTGTCACTTGTGTTCAACATCAGGCACATATAGACCATTCCATGATTATGCTGAGTAATAAATGTATTTACCATTAAAAAGAATTAATTCTATAATATTATGAAAGCAAATCCTTAACATATTTGTTAAGGATCACTTTGAATATCTGCGAAATTATGTTATTGTCCTTTGTCCTCTAGACAAAACACTATCACCGATTTATTTTTTCCATTATGTTTACTTTTATCAAAAAATTATTTAGAGAAACAAAATTATTATTATTATTATTATTATTATTTTGCAGTTTTTGGCCAGGGCCAGGTTTGGACCTGCCGCCTCCGGCATATGGGGCCGGTGCCCTACTCCTTTGAGCCACAGGCACCGTCCCAAGAAACAAAATTATTTTTGAAAGTTATTATCAACTACAAGAATTTGTAAATTTGATGAAACAGAAGAAAAAGTGACAAGGAAACAATAAGCAATCCAAGAAGACATAGAAGTGGAACTGTAAAAAAAAGTCACTCAAAAACCAGAAATTATAGTGACTAAATAAAAGTCTACTTTGAAGGTATTGAAAAGATATTACAGAAACTCAAATAGTAAAGTTAAGGAAAAAACCCTAGAAACTTTTCAAAGTGAATCTGACAAACAGAAAATGTAGATTCAACCAAAATATTGTTACAGTTGTGTAATCCACCCTAATATTCAACTACAGACATGGAATAACTGATTCACTTTTTACCCCTCTTGCCATTTCAAATTCATCACTTAGCATATTTCATTCTATTCCCATTCACCTCTTCCTTGGATATGTCTTCACGATTTTCTGAAACCACATGCCCAGGAAAATTGACTCTCATCTTCCCCCACCTTCTCATGAAAGGACCTCACAAAAAATCTTACGTACCATACTCCGAAAAAAATTGTTTCTAATCTATTTGTTAAAATTTTATTAGAAAAAAGTGAACAATGTATTTTAAGATGATGATTTTTTTCAATATTCATAGAAAGGTATTTTGAAATGTAATCTCTGTCAAAACAAGGTGCTTAGAACCATCTATTTACAGGTTTAAGAAAGACGAAAATAATTCCTTCTAGAACATTTATTTAACACCTCCCTTACAGAAGTTTTGCCTAAAATTTCCTTTTAACATTGCCATGATCTATTAATGGCTCCGACTCTCTGAAAAGGTACAGTGAAAGAATATCCCTTATCTTCCTCACAGGGAATCAGGAAATATATTAAAAATAAGAGTTACTTGAATAGTAGACCTTAAATAGGCCTCAAAAATCATGAGATTGGACATCTGCCAATTGCTATCACTTTTTTCTTGTCACTTTGAGTGAATATTTCTTGGTTAAGATTTATTTTTAGGACAATTATCTAATATCTCCTAATTTGAGGGCTCTTTTTTTTTTCTATTTTTTAAGACACCCTTTTTAATGGTCTTGGGCTGGGAGCAGTCATCGGCCTGGGAGTTGCCGCACTGCTGCTAATCCTTGTGGTAACAGACGTCAGCTGCTTCTTTACCCGGCAATGCGGGTTATTGATGTGCATCACCAGGAGAATGTGCGGGAAGAAAAGTGGCTCCAGTGGCAAAAGCAAAGAGCTGGAAGAAGGAAAAGCTGCATATTTGTGAGTCTCAAAAATACGCGTCGTCTCACATTAAGTGTCACAGTCAAGCTTGAGTGCCTTTGGGGGGAGGCTCTGGTTTCTAAACCAGGCTTGGCTACACAACACTATCTGCTCTCTGTCCTTAAATTTCCACAACCACGGGCTTGGTGCCTGTAGCTCAGCGGCTAGGGTGCTAGCCACATACACCAGAGCTGGCAGGTTCGAACTCAGCCTGGGCCTGCTAAACAACAAGGACAACTGCAACAAAAAATAGCTGAGAGCTGTGGCAGCCATTGTAGTCCCAGCTACTTGGGAGGGGGAGGCAAGAGAATCGCTTAAGCCCAAGGGGTTGAGGTTGCTGGGAGCTGTAATGTGCCACAGCATTGTACTGAGGGGGAAACAGTGAGACTCCGTCTCCAAAAAGGTTGAAGACTCTGTATTCTCTAAATATTTACCTTATTGAAATAAATGACTTTAACAATGACTTTTAACTTTTCATAATTAGACCTCAAAATGTAATTCCCACTAGAAAGAATTACTGCAATGACTTAAAGATGACGACCAGGTGGAAAGCTATACAAATGTATTCAGTTTTGATTTTTCCCACCATTTTTCAGTCTATATGGATTAAAGAACAATCTCAAAGGTACTCTGGTTCCAAAACTCAAACTTATTTAAAAACATAACATGATTATGGCAACTCCTACCAATGTAAGCGACTACATAGAGCTTTTAAGATTCTTTGTTTAGAAAATGTGGTATGTACTATGCAATGCATTGTTACAGATTCTCAATTTTCTCTTCCAAATTTTGATAGAAAGTTGACTCTATTTTGTAATTTAGATTGCTCTATGGAGTCTCAATTCAACAAAATATGAATTCCAATATAATATGTAGAACTGAATTTTGTAGAAAATTATCTTGTCACGTAAAAGGGGTAATTAAGATGTTACATTACTAGTGTATTATTTTGTCATGTTTGTTTTTACATAGATTTGTGTTTAATCTCGAAAGTACAATAAGCTCAATGGGGAAAAAATCAGCAAGCATAGAAAAGAATGCACGCACGTACATACACACAGGTTTGTGTTTATATGTACATGTTTGTATACATCTACCTTTGTATACAAAGCCCCCAAATAAGCATTTTTAAGAGTTCAAGACCTCCTCATTATTTATGGTCATAAGACCTTTATATTGCAGGGGTTTTATAACATTTCAGTTTGAAAATCTTCAAACATACAAACAAGTTGAAAGAATTTTTCAAGAAAAACACCTTTGCCATCACCTGGCCTCTGCAGTTAACATTTTATTTCCTTTATCATATATTTATCCATAATTCAATCCTTTATAGTATTTTTAATTTTATAAAATCAGAATACTTAAGTTCTACATAATTAAACTTGGATAGCATGACAGTTCAAATTTGTTTATGTTTTCTTTAGCTAAAAGTACCTAGAATGAATTTAAAATTTTATTAAATTTCCTCCTTGGTATCTGAAGAGACAATAGATTTTAGAGGGTTCTTTAATGAAAGTATAGACTATATAATGTTAAAATTTCTTTATAAATCTAAAATTATTTCACTCGCATCATGGATTATTCAGCAATTAACTCCATAGTTGATGATAAGGTCTCAGGAGTTTGAAGGAGCCAGAAGCTCACTCTGCATCCATGTATTTAATGAAAATATAAATGACAGAAACATAAGTTTAGGAAATAAAAGGGATGCTAAGTGTTTACAACCACAGGTTTTGCTCTTTTGTCTTCAACTTTGTACAGAAAACTCTGTATTCACAAAAGGAAGAATAATGTTTTTAGTCTCTGAAACATAAGGAAGAAGAGATTTTTGACAGACATTCAAGGATAAGAGGAGAGAAAGTTAAGATTTTTTCATAATACCTAATGATTTGTTAAATAATGAATTTCAGGAATTATAGTAATTTTTGTAATGATAAAGATAAAACAATTAGGGTGGCACCTGTGGCTCAAAGGAGTGGGGTGCTGGGCCCATATCCCTGACGTGGCGGGTTCAAACCCAGCCCCAGCCAAAAACTGCAAAAAAACCAAACAACAACAACAACAAAAAAAACACTTTATTATAAAAAGTATTCAAAATGGATTATAAAAATAGTAAAAATATTTTTATAACTCTAACACAGAGTAACCAGTTCTTTCATTAAAGTAAAATCCCACATACCTACCATGATTTCTTTTTCAATATTTAATTTTTTTTCAATTTTATTCATTTCAAAATAATAGCAATAAATCTATCATAGGCTGACATAAAACACTTTTTGAATTTCAGATTGATATGAGGGTAGTAATGATTAGGTTACATTGTTTGCATTTTTAAAGTAAAGTTTTAGTAGTACTGAAGTCCTTCACTCAGAGGATGCACTGCAGTCTCCATCTTTTTATGGCTGAATAGTATTCTCCATGGTATACATGTACCACAGTTTATCAATCCATTCAAGAGTTGATGGCAAATGTCAATTGAGCTACAGTAAACATTCTAATGCAATGTCTTTATGGTAAAATGTTTTTTTCTTTTTCTTCTGGGTAGACATCTAAAAATGACATTGCAAATCAGATGGAAGGTCTGTTTTTTTTTCTTTGAGTTTTCTCCACATTTCTTTCCACAGAGGTTGCATTAGTTTCCAAGCCCACCAGCAGTGTAAAAGTGTTCCTTTCTCTCCACATCCACACCACCATCTATAGCTTCAGCATTTTGTAATGTGCACTGTTTTCACTGGGGTTATTTGAATCTCAGAGTGGTTTTGATTTCCACTTTTCTGATGATTAGGGACTATGAGCATTTTTTCATGTGTTTCTTTGTCATTTGTCTGTCTTTTCCAGAGAAGTTTCTGTTCACGTCTCTTGCCAACTCATACATTGGATTATTTGCTCTTTTCTTGTTTATTAATTTGAGTTCTGTTTAGATTCTGTTTATCAATCCAGTGTCAGATTCATAACATACAAATATCTTTTCCCATTCTGAAAAGATGTTGTCTGTTTATTTGTTGTAGCCTAGCTATGCAGAAATTTTCTAGATTGGTCAATGTTCCATTTATTTATTTTTGGTGTTGCTGCAATTCCCAAGGGGTCTTCTTTATGAATTATTTTCCCAGGCCAACAGTGTCAAGAGTTTCTCCACACTTTCTACATGACAAGACAATTTTTGTACATGGTAAGACGTGTGGGTGCAGTTTCAGTCTTCTGCAGTTGGCTAACCAGTTCTCCCAGCACCATTTATTACATAGGGATTCTTTCCCTAATGTATGCTTTTGTTTGGTTTATCAAAGATCAAGTGGCTGTTCATGGCTGGGTTCATCTCTTGACTTTCTATTCTGTTCCATTGACCTATATCTGTATTATTATGTCAGGATCCTGTTGTTTTGATCAGTATATTTTGAACTTCTAGATGTCCAAACTCAAGGAACTTGACTTTGAAATGTTCCTTTACTAAAATGTCAAATTTTATTTTGTATATCAGTGTTTTCTCCCTCTCGTCTCCAAACCTATCTCTTTTCAGAAAATTTATGTGAGTCATTTATTTACATGTCTTTTAACTGTCTCATTTGTTGCTTAACCCCTTAGGTTGTCTGTCTTTACTGAAGCTGGTCATGTACCACTCATGTTTCTCCTCCCTGTAGCTGTTCATTTCATGAAAAATTTATGTTGATGAGCCCTCACATCTTACCTCAGTTTTCATACTTTTGGACTATCTTGGAGCATCTGACAATGTTTCCATTTTCTCTTGTTCAAATCCATTCATCCTCTTCTGGGACTCCACATCATCCATTTCCTCTCTGTTTCATCTTCAGTTCTCTTTTACCCTCTTTCAAATATCACCTCTAACTGAACTAGTACCAATTAAACATCATGCATGTTCCTCATATTTCTCCTGAGGGATAGGATGCCTACTAGATGCCTATTTCTAAACAAAATGGCAGTAACTAATATCTAACTTGTGTAAATTTTAACTTAGAATATTTACCAAAAAAGAGTTTCTGTTTCTGTGATCCCCATTTCTCAGTGGCACATGTACATTTTAAGATACGTTTCTAGTTTAAATTATTCTAGCCCAATAAAACTTTCCCATCTCACCAAGTTTGTTAAAATCCTGGGGATTATTGCTGTTTGCTCACATCATATTTATTATATAATTATATTCCTTATCTCATATTCTTTGCTTATTTATTTCTCAATTTGGCTTTCTAAATCAGCTATGGCAATAAATGGTCTCTTTCTGTCACATGTGATAGACACTGTGTTTCTTTTCTCTTTTATCTATTTTACAAGGAAGGAAGGGAGAAAAACTTCTGTGTTCCTCTTTCATATGTTGTTTTTTAAAAACTAAATCATGTTTATACCTTTTCCCTGAGAAAGTACTGATTTAAAACTTTACCACATTTTAGACCATCCTCAGTCTGCTTTTATGTGGTGGTGGAAAGATTCCAAGAACCAGATGATAAAAATGAATGAGATTGTATCCTGGGGCTCAATATTTTTAACCAAATCATTTTTGCTTCCTTGTGCATTAGTTTCTTCATCCATAAAATGAGTATATGCATTCCTGTTTTCATGCTGTGTGGCTTACATTAATTAATGCATATAGTGTATGAAAAAGTATTCTTATGATGCTTGTTATATAATAATTATTGCTTATAGGGTGAAGAATATAGGAGAATCCAGTCTGCATGATTGCATTTGGTTTTGTCTCTAAACTTATTTCAGTCCTACTAGGCCATTTGTCTATAGCAATGTCTTACAGATACTCTGTAAGGGATATTTTCACTGTAGAAAGTGATATATTAGATACATATGTTTTCAGTTCAAAAAATTAGATTCAATTATACTCAAACACAATGCCATCTGCCTATTTGTTTGGTATGGAGTGTAATAAAAAAATAAGCCAAATTTAGTCTCTACTGAATACTTCAGCAAGATACTAATGCAGTAAAAGTTCAAAACCCATATCTCTTAGTGTCTTCATCATAACCTAGTCTCTCTTTAAT